GGGGGGGGGGGGGGGGGCGCGGGGCGGGTCGAGCCGCGGTGGAGCGAGGAGGCGCGCGGTGGGGCTTGGTGACCAACCGATGTGTTCGTTGGGGGGGGCCTCAGGATCAGATCAGAGATCAAAGGGAAGGGCGGCGCCCGTCTTCTCCGGGGAAAATCATCTTCATCGGAGAGGTTGATCGAACGCGAAAGAAGACAAGAGATAAGTTTTTGTAAGGCTTGCCGGGCTAGGCATGAAGGTTGCAGCGTGGGTCGAGCTCTCGCCCGGCAACCCTAGCCAGGCCTCACGCGCTGGCCGCGACCGCGACCGCTCGAGCCCGAACTGCCCGTCAGATATGTCGGAATTGTCGGAGAATAGCGACTAGCACACCTCTGAGTCCCAGAAACCCGAGGAGTCACACAGTCCACCTGTGTGATGCACGCCCTGCGAGCGGGGCGGGGTGCGCACTGTCCCTCTGTGTTCGTGTGCGTCGCCCATCTCTCCCTGGAGATGACCGCTCTATTTATTTATTTGAAGGTTGCAGCGAGAAGCGGCGAGAGACTGCGAAAAGAGATACGAAGAGGCAGACTCCCCAGGGTGGGCGACGGCTAGCGCACCACACTCCTCTCCTTAAAATCCCTGTGTGGTGGCGGCGTGCCGTTCTCCCATCCCTCCCTTGGGTTGTGTGTTTTCTTTCTTTCTTTCTTTCTGCCGGGCTAGCGCACCACACACCTCTCCTTAAAATCCCTGTGTGGTGGCGGCGTGCCGTCCTCCCATCCCTCCCTTGGGTTGTGTGTTTTCTTTCTTTCTTTTTTGCCCGGCCGGGTTGCTGCGCAAATCTCGCGCTGCGCTAGGCTCAGAGCGAGTTCGCGCTGCGCTAGGCTCAGACGTGGGGCTCGCTCGGCAGTTTGTCGGGCTCGCTACCCACTACCCTTGCTCTACCACAGCCTCAGCCGAAGCTGGGGCCGGTCCCGTACGCCGTAGCGCGTAGGCCGTCCGTAGCCGAGAGAGCCCCCGCGTCCCGATGAATCGTCGACGCGCGGGGACCGGGGTCGGCCGTCGGGGGAGAGGCCGCGCGGCCCGCGCCGGCCCCCGGCCGGCGGGGGGCGGGCGGGCGCGAGGCGGGCTCTCGCCCGGGTCGGTCGTCGGTGGTCTATCATGTCTCTTGATTACAAAGGTGCAGTGATTAGGATGAAACTTGAAAGGTTACCACACTGCGGTCACTTTTACTGCACGCACGACACACGACGCACCGCACCCGGGGGTTTCGGGTTCTCCTCAGGTGTGACATTCGAGCTGTGGCGGGTCCATGCCATTGCATGGAGGGCCCGCCGCAGCTCAAACAACGCGTAATGAAGCAGCACGGCGCGGCGGCCGTCACGCTGCCCGCCGACAGCGGACAGCGCGCGGGGCAGGCTAGGGGCCGAGCCGGGAGGGAGCCGCCAGAGAGGGGGGGGGAGAGCGCGGCCGCAACGGCGGCGGAAGAGGGAGGGGGCAGGCCTGAGGAGGGGGGAGGGGGGGGGGGGGTCGGCGGCGGCTGACAGGGGGTGGAGAGGGCGGCGGAAAAGGGGAGTACAACCTGTGTCACCCGAAATCCAGAGTGCGTCTGTGGTGATATGTGGGGGACACTTTCTCCTCCCTATTCATGTCAGTCACTCGACTGCGTCGAGGGGGGGGACGTCTGAACCACAGCGTGTCCCGACTCGACCGCCGGCGTCCCGGTCCGGGGGTGTTTCTCTTCTTATCCGCTACCATGTAGAGCAAGGTCGAGGGCGGGCCCTTTCGGGCTCGGGCCGCCCTCTCGCCCGCAACTCTGCGGGGCTTGCACGATGGGTATCCCGTATCAAGAATACTCACTCTAGGTAGGTAGGTAGTAAGGTGAAGAACAGCCAGGCTCGGACTGGACACCAACGCGGTATGGGTGGACGCTGGACAGATGATGACGACACGCACGAGCGACACATAGACACAAACAAGCTCACAAGACACACAGCCAGCTGGCTGCCACACACCCTGAGTCGGCGTCCACATAACTCAGGGCCACATCCTCCCTGTCGCCCGGGTTGTGACGAGGGGTGAGGGGACACGGATTGAAGATCCCTCACACCAAGATCGTGCAGGGCGGGGAAACATGTCCCTAAATCCCATCTCGTCTCAGAGTTTGCCCGTTTTATTTATTTATTTGAGGCGGGGGGGTGGTTTCACTGCGAGATCGCTCAAGGCCAAGGGGCTAGTTCCATTTCACTGTGGCACAGCTCGCGTTACAAAACCTTGATTTTGACCATTTGCGCACTATTGTACCTCTCGGTGCCTTCCAGAGGCAGCTGCG